GGTTTCTTTAGCTGCAACTCATGCCGATAGTGGTGTAGCTTTTGCATGGTGGGTGTGGGTGGATGTGTGTGTCTGTGTGTATGTCTGTATGTGTGTGTCTGTGTGGTTAAACCCATCTTTCATCCCATGAACTACGCAAGGAGGCTAACAAAGATAACTGCAAAATGATACAAACTGTTCTTTTCAATAGAACTCCTTTTTTGGTACTTCGTTGATTGACATTGTCTAATTATTGTATTGTTGAGCCTATATGTACAAATATTGCTTGTCCACTGAAGAAGGCCACTTTGGCCAAAACGCGTCTGGTCGCAATAGGTCCCACTTGTGTATGTTGTACACTTTTATTCTGTATTGAGGCTACAATTGGGCCCATAATTGTTTTTAACTAACTGATAATAAATATGTGTGGTTTGGATAATATTTAAGTTATAGTATAGTTTTTAGTCATTGGCCCTTTACTTTATACGTAACTAACCTTTCAGGTACTTGTTGCTTCAAAGAGCCCTAGTCTTCCAGGCCTCTTCCAAGTCACCAACAGACTTGCCATTTAACCTCTCAAAATCCCCTTAAATCAAGGGTGTCAAACTCATTTGTTATGAGGGCCAGATCTGACATGAATGAGACATTGTTGGGCCGGGCCCTGTGTGTCATAAAATGTAATGCCAGGTAGTGGAAATAAAAACTTTATAAAGGACACAAACACAAAGGGGTCTTTTTACTTAAAATAAAAACATGCTGAAAACATTAGCACTCTTGCAATATTTTGTTTATTTAACGGTGTCTGATAACTGACACCTCTTGCTCTGAATTATTGCATCAAAATGACTGTGCTTTTGCAATCTTGAGTATACTGTTCAGATGTGTATCTGGAAGCTGCAAACCTAGGATAACGCAGCAGCAGCAGAACTGGAAGAAAAAGCAGAAGACAGCCAGTTCCACTGCGGGCCTGATAGAAGCCCTCTGGGGGCCTCATCTGGCCCCCGGGCCACATGTTTGACACCCCTGCCTTAAATCATTCTGGAATCAGTTGGTCTCCAACAGTGAACCATTTTACGGGAAGAAGAGAAGGAACTGAAGATGCTGGAATGCGCAGATCCAAATGTTCCTGTCTTCTACAGTCTGATACTTTTCACATTTACTCAGAATTAAGCTCCCCGGTGTGCAAAGGGCTTACTGAGAAATAATTTAGTCATTTGCGTACTTCATTTGTGCCCTACTTTTCTCCCAAATGGTGATCAAGAGTGGCTGGCAACATTCTCCCCTCCTCCATCTTATACTCACAACAACTCTGTGAGGTAGGTTAGACTGAGAATGTGTGACTGGCCCAAGGTCACTCATAAACTTCCATGGTAGAGTGGGGGTCTGAATTGCAGGTTATTCAGTTTAGTTCCCCAGCAGAGTATGTTCTGGGCAGGGCTTTTTTTTTAGAAAAAGCCCAGCAGGAACTCATTAGCATAATAGGACACACCCAACAACAGAAGCTCATTAGCATATCCAGCCACACCCATGAAAGCATAGCTCATTAGCATATTAGGCTGCACCCCCATGTTACCAGAAGTGTGGACATCCAGCCACACCCACCTTTTGCTTCTTATTCTGTTTACCTTGTTTGTTGTCAAAACCTAGGGCTTTTTTTGTAGCAGGAACTTCTTTGCATGTTAGGCCACACCCTTAATGTAGCCAATCCTAATGAGTTTCTGCTGTTGGGTGTGACCTATTATGCTAATGAGTTCCTGCTGGGCGTGGTCAACTTGGGAGCCAGCCGGAACTCCGTTCCTGTGTGTTCCTGCCCAAAAATAGCCCTCCCTGGCTCTGGGAGGGAAGGTGGCATGGTCTGATCTCATCAGATCTCAGAAGCTCAGCAGGGACAGTGCTTGGAAGGGAGGCCACCAAGGAGGACTCTGCAGAGGAAGGCAATGGCAGACCACCTCTGCTTCTCACTTGCCTTGAAAACCCCTTGTTGGGATTGCCGTAAGTCAACTGTGACTTGACAGCACTTTACACACACAGAGTAGTGTTCTAGGCAATTTGAAAAGCTAAATTTATTTTCTCTTCCTTTCCAATCTGCTGGCAATCATCCCCCTCTTCAAAAACTCCCCACTCTACCACAACATCTTTCCTTTCGTTCTTTTCTCTGGTTTCCAGTGAAGCAAGTTGTTCCTCAACAGAGGGGAAGGCGCCCTGACCTGGATAGCTCAGGCAAGCCCGATCTTGTCAGTTCTTGGAAGCTAAGCAGGGCTGACCCTGGCAAGGAATTGAATGGGAGACCTCCAAACAATACCAGAGTTGGGAGGTGCAGGCAGGCTATCAAGCTACTTCTCTGCATGTCCTCCACGCCCCAGTAGGAGTCACCTGACGTTGCCATGACTTCCAGGCACGGGGGCACACACACACACACACACACACACAATGCAAAAACATACTAAAAAGAGGAAAAGGCATTTTCTGTCCAGTTTCTCACCAGTGTGCTGATGGGGGCAAGTACCCCCCCCTTGAAACATCCGCAGTTAAACTTAAAATATCAGTACTTAAAATATCTGCAATGGAACAAATAAAAATAATTTCAAAACATTTCTATTCCCTGGAGAGAAAGTGTGTGGGTGTGAGTGGGTATAGGGTGTGGTAGTGTGTTAACTTGCAAGTCTGAGCCGTCTCTCTCCTCAAGTATTTACCTCACGGTAGTGCATAAGCTTGGCACTGAGTCCATTTGGCAAGGTGGAGTTGAGCACCCTGTGTCTGGGATCTGAGTTTTTCATCCCTACACACACACACGCGTGCGCCCGATTTCCAGACTACTTCTAGCTTTTCTCCTCTCTAATTTGATGCATGAAAATTGGTAACATAAAAGTCTTCTGCACGTCCTCTGAAACCCTCTGTTCCTTTTATTATTTCATACAGTGCTGGGGGTACCGAGAAAGGTCTTGGGTGATCCTGGCCCAAATTATGTCCTGTTCTCCTCTGTCACGGAAGCCCTTACCTGTAATCATGGTGGTTTGAAAATTGGATGTGGTTACTCTACACATACCCTGGGAATCTTTTTAGCCACCCTTTCTTCATAGATCTTTGGGGGGGCGAAAGTCTTCAGAAGGATTTATGTATACTTAAAATCCATTGGTTTGAAAAAATTCTCCAACTATTTTCAGCGGACTATGGTCATTCGCTGATGGTGCATGTAGGGGGAGTGTCCTGTATATGGATAAAGACACTTTTTTTCTTCTTTAACAATTCCATGGCTGAGTGTTCACACAGGAAAGTTACTGGGCTAATAAGCCTTGGTTTAACTTAAGCTTCATAGTGCTCACATCCTACATTGGGTATTCTTCTGTAGACTAGTGGTTTAGAGAAAAGGGGCACATGGGAAGACTGTCACCTGTGAAGTTGTCCTCAGGGTGTTAAGTAGTAGAAGGTGAAGTTGCATTTTGCTGGCACTTGTTTAGAGAATCTTGTGGTAACATGAAGTAATCCATTCTGCTTGAGAGGCGATCATCTGTGTGGTCCAAGGTCACCCACTGATCTTAGGCTTGCCAAATCCCGCCGGGGGGGGGATTGCCCACTTTAGGGCCCCCCGATCAGCCAGCCCAGATCCAGCCGGTTGGAGGAACCCCACTCCCAAAGTGCCTGAACCGGGCTGACGTGCCCAGCATGATGACGTCACCCGGAGGTGATGTCATTGCATCAGGCACATCACCGGGGGGACGCTCTGGCATTTGGAGAAATGCTAGATTGTCCCCCTGGTGACGTGCCTAGCACAATGACGTCACTTGTGGGTGACGTCATCGTGGTGTGTGCTATGTGCTCGTGCCAGAACATCCCGGGAGAGAAGCTTCTCCCCCCCACCCCCGCCGGAAAAAGGTAAGGACCTGGGAACCCTAACTTTGTGCCCAGCATGATGACGTCACCCAGAGATGATGTCATTGCATCAGGCACATCACCAGGGGGACACTCTAGCATTTGGCGAAATGCTAGATTGTCCCCCTGGTGACGTGCCTAGCACAGTGACGTCATTTGTGGGTGACATCATTGTGGTGTGTGCTACGTGCTCGTACCAGAACATCCCGGGAGAGAAGCTTCTCCCCCCCGCTGAAAAAAGGTAAGGACCTGGGAACCCTAACTGAACTTCATGGCTAAATGGGGATTTGAACCCAAGTCTCCCAGATCCTAGTTGGACATTCAGACCACTGCAGTGTATAAGGTCTCAAGCAGTCATATTCCTGTGCTAGAATCATGACGTGTCAGTAGGGGTGAAAAGGCTACTTACATTGTGAGATAATGCTTTACCATTGGACTAAGCAACCATCACGTGAGGACACCAGAGTTTACCAAGAATGCCTGTCTTACCCGTGATATGAATTGCAAAATATTGTTAGACTTCCAGATTAATGCTAGTTATACAGTTTGCCTGTAAATCGCATGCAAACCGCTGTTTGAGTGCAGCCCCATGGTATAGTTTGTTGCAGCAACCTTGCTGAAAGTGAAACTGGGTCTAGTTATTGCCTAGATAGATGGAAGGCTGCCTATGTAGTCTGCCTTGAGTTCCATGAAAGAAGGGTGGGATGCAAGTGTCATAACGAATAGCAAACCTTTCAATTACATCCTGCTTGCTAGAGAAACTTGAAAATAAGACATTTTCCCCATAGTCAACACTGTGCAAATAAAGATTTACCTCATACTTAAGCCCACTCCTCCAGAACCAAGGAGCCAAATCAGACATTGGACTGTAGGAATCAGCCTTGATTGGGAGGGGTGGAGATTTCCAGTGGCAGCTTAGAGTGTTTCTCTACCTCACCAATTAAAAATGCTGTTTACTGTCACACATCCTATCTTGTTCTGGGGATGAGTCTGCAGAATTTCTTACTGGGATATTAAAAACACCTGTGCTTGCAAATTTTAGGATAAAACCCCTATTTTTGCAAATTTTAGGGTCTTGATATTGCATATTAGAGATTGCGTTTGCCTTCAGCCATAATGGTAATTTGCCTTTGTGATATATTTTTTGACAGGGTGGGATGATTAACTGGAACCGTCTCTTTCCTCCTTTACGTCGTCGACGTGATGCAAACTATCAGGATAATCGGCAGACAGAACATGAGGGGCTGCCTCCAGCTGAAGTGTCTGAAGAACAGGTGAACAATTTACATATTCTGGGGCTGTCTTGGCTAAAGAAAGCCAAGATTCTGTGGCTTGTGATGCGATACTGATTCTCTCAGAGCATATCTACAGCTTCCAGTGTTCCCTGCTTGGGTCAATAGCACATACCCAGGAACTTAGTTTGCCTTTTCTTCTTGGCTGTCGTGGAATTGACTGCTGGAAGCCAGCCATATGGTTTGTGTAAGCCATGACTAATCTCACAGTGGTCCGTCTACTTCAAGGAATGGATAGAATGCACGGCAGAGCTTTATTTTAACATCAGACTTGAGACTGACATACTTTCCATCTTCCAACCTTCTGCTGTGCCAGACTTTGCTGAGTCAGCTCTCCAGAAGCTGCCTGACTAAATCTTAGCAGGGTCATAGAGGCCAGATGGCTAGCTAGGTATGCACACTTTAAAGCCTACAGGGGACAAGGGAAGTGCAACTGAAACCCTTATGCACTGCGAATCAGGATACAGTAAAGCAGAACATACCATCCCATACATAAAAGTTGTGTGAACGACCTACTCTTCTCAAAATTCTCCAGCAGCCTCGCTAATGTGCCACATGTGCCACGGAATTTTGAAAGAATCTTGACGTCCGTATCTGCTGCCATCATATATGGTAGGATATGCAAATAAAAATTCATATTGAGAAGGGGACTTCAAATTTGTGCTTATTGGACTGATTTCCCCCCCCCCAAACCCTCTTCAGGTGTAGCATAATCATAATAAACGTGAACAATTACACTTTTAGGCTGTCTGAAATCCCTGTTTCGGAAGCAGATAGCCAAGGGGAAGAGAGGACACCATGATCTCAATGGACCTGTTACATGACTTATAATCCACACAGGAGAGTCAATCATGCACCTTGCAAAATAGTACATTTTGCTCATATGTGTGAAGTGTCATGTGGTATATCTTGAATCTTGTCGTACGCTGGTACAGTGACTAATCCTCCTTGTGGATGAGCAAATCACTATGTTAGCTGTCTAGCTAGGACTTGGACTGAGAGACAGACCTTGAAGACCTTGGCACCCTTCCCACAACACATTTTCAGCTAAATGACAACCCGGCAATTCTTGCAAAAATCATCCCAAGAGGAAAAGAATAGTGTCATTATAATTTTCTCCTCCTAATATTAAACCATGGAGTCTATTAATGTGCTATGATTTCTGACATCGTTATTACCGTGTGCTTGAGAGAGCATGTAAAACATAATGGCTGGGATCTGGACTAGACATCTTTGGGGACACAAAGACTTACACCCCCCAGGGTACAATTTCCACATCACCTCCCTGTTCCCCCGTGGCAGCCAGAAATGCTACCAGGAACAGGATTTCACAGGGCATTTCAGGCCGGCATGAGAAGAGGAGACGGGCCATGGGAATGTCAAGTATGCGTTGGGTGAATTTTTTCTGGGCATAGTGTGACTTTGTAAGTTTTGTTAGGGAGCCTTCAGGCTGTGAGTGCATCCAACACAGAAGTTACATAAATAAAATGAGCAAACTCAGTTGTGATAAAGTGGTTTCTCACATTAATTAAAAGCATGCATTGGACCAGAGATTGCAGTCTTGTGCCTGTACTTGAACAGTTCTCTAAAATAGGGTTCCCCGACCTGGTGCCAGTGGATGCCATGGCACCCACCAGGGGTATTACAAAAAGTGGGTGAGGCCAGATAGGGCTCCTGCCCAGCAGGGCTCTGATCGGCCTTTGGGAGTCTGATAAACTGTGCAGATTAACGTAATGTTTCTTTGGTGGCAGCTGTCATCACAGTGTTGGTTTTATTCTCATACCTTTTCCTAGTGAATTTTTAAAATTATTCCTCTTGTCCCCTGCATTTGGGCTTCCTCTGTATGTGTTTGTGGGTGGTGCCTCTACCTCCTGTAGTTGGCTCCACCTCCTCTGGTGGACATTTTGTGGTTGGACCCAACACCCCGTGTCATAATTCCAAAGGTGTCTACAGGTTGAAAATGGTTGGTGACTCCTGCTCTAAAACATACGTCACCATTGGCTGCTTGTAAGAATTCCAAATGAAGACATTTACTTTTTAATTTTATTATTTATTTCTCTTATTTCTCGGACAGGTTGCACGGCTCATGGAAATGGGATTTTCCCGGACAGATGCCTTGGAAGCTTTGAGAGCTTCAAATAATGACCTTAACGTAGCTACCAACTTTCTACTCCAGCACTAATGAGTGCCTGCAACGACGAACTTTAAGCAATACTTGAAGCAAGCTGCCCAAAGGAGGACCACAGCTACCTGCTGGATAGACTCCTGAAGGTTTAAGTAACTAAGAAGAAGCTCTTGTCCTGTGGGAGACATCAGAAGAGCAGTGATGTATGGCCCTAAAAATACGTGCCCCTGGAAGGGGATACTGACTGGCCGGATTTCACTTGGAAAGTACTGCCACCATGTTATAGCTTCAATATTTATTTTGGAAAGCTGGGTGTTGTTTCAAAGCATGAAGTCTACGAGCATTCCTAGTAACTAGGAGATGGGAGAAGGCGGGAAAGCTTGGCGGGGGGAGACGGAGGCTCCTTTTGCCAAACTTACAGGATTCTTTTCTCTTGTATTACGATCCTTTTTTTCTAATCATAAATATTTTTGAATACGGCATTTCTTTCATCGGCTTTGTCACAGCTCTAAGAAATGTTCAGAACTACCTGGGCATGTGATTTCAATAAAGGAAGAGAGTGGTCTGCTGTATCATTCTTGGAAGGGTTCTGTTCATGTATATCAGGGGAAAGGTTCTTCTCCATTCTCTATTTTTTTCCTTTAAAAAAAGGGGGATAATAAGGTAACTTGAATACTGGCAAGTTATATTAAGCAGCCATATATGATTTGAGTTTGAGGTTGCTTCCAAAGGACTCTGACTGGAGCTTCACTTACAGAACTAATCGTTCCAACCTCCCCCTTCCCACGACAGGTCATGTGCTCCTGAATATACTTGGGGGGGGCTAGGGGGACCCTGTATTGGCCCCATCTTTGCTAATTGCTCTGAGTCTCTTGGGAGAGGACAGCATGAACTGCTCTCGGGGGAACATTCCCACTTTCATGCTTGTCAGCAAAGCCTTATCTGCAAGGCCTGGGTTGTTCCGCCCGCCCCCTCCCCTGGAAGCCAGGTGCAAGATGGCCTGGCTTATCCTAGTGTTTGGGACAACTTGATTCATCATTCTTTGGGCTCACAGCCAGCCTTTAGGGTCTAAGGCACCTAGCTCTAGCTATGCTCTTTGTCTCGAGGGTGTGGCTAAGCTCTACTGCGTGTGCGCGCGCACATCTCAAGGCCAGCTGATTGGAGCTCAGTCTTGAATCTGCTTTGATAACTCTGATGCGTTATTAAAGCTCTGCTCTTAACTAAACGTGGATCTCTCGTGTCAGTTCTTTGGGAACTTCTGCGAACCTATGGAGCCCGTGGCCAGGGTCCATAACAGATCCTCAGGAACAGTTTGGGGTGTAGTGGTGGAAGTCTGCAATGGGAGGCAAGGATTGGCAAAAATGGCCCCCTTCTTCCACCAGCTGATGATGACTTTGGATTCAACTGAGGATAATCCAAACAAAAAAACAGGGACTGTGGAAATAAAACTGTATTTGTAGATAACAGCATGACCTGAATTCCATGCATTTCCTTATTGCATAAGATTTCCAAGGGTAAATGGTTTGGGCATATTGCTTATAGGTAAAGGTAAAGGTTCCCTTGCTCGAAAGCCAGTCGAGTCTGACTCTAGGGTTGCGGTGCTCATCTCCGTTTCAAAGCCAAAGAGCCAGCGCTGTCCGAAGACATTTCCGTTGTCATGTGGCCGGCATGACTAAACGCCAAGGCGCACGGAACGCTGTTACCTTCCCACCGAAGTGGTACCTATTTATCTACTTGCAATTTCTTGCTTTCGAACTGCTAGGTTGGCAGGAGCTGGAACTAGAGACGGGAGCTCACTCCATCATGCGGCGCCCGGGTCTCGAACTGCTGAACTATTGACCTTCCACAGCCTGCAGTTCAGCATCTTAACCACTTGAGCCACTTATATCTAGAGCTATATGTGTATACACATGAAGCTGTTTTATACTTAATCAGTTCTTTGTGCCAACTCAGACTAGCAGTGGGTCTTTGGGGTCTCGGGCAGAGGTCTTTCACATCACCCACTGCCCCATCGTTTTAAGTGGAGATGCCACGGATTGAACCTGGGACATTCTGCAGGACAAGCAGATGCTCTGCCACTGAACCACAGCCCCTTCCCATTGGTTAATTTCTTTTAAAGTTCAGACACCTGCAAATGTGCTGGATCCAAAAAGTTCCATTCTACTAATGGTGAAACCTTCTACCGGTATAAGGAGATTTCCTCCGGCAGAACCCACCTGTTGTGATGGAGCAAGACTCTGTGCATGGGCAGAAGGTGTCTTGGAAGTGGAGCAGGGCTCTCCAGTAAGCAGAACAGAACCTCTGGAGCCAGCTCCAATACATGTAAGTTATAAGGACTGGTCACAGGACTCAGTTCTATGGGACTTTTTTTCTGAAAATGAGGCACTTTAAATACATTGCAGTTCCATTAACCTTTTCAAGTGTGCTTTCTTTGTCTCTTTCATGAGATGATAGCGAAAAATTGTTTCCACAGAATTAAGAACACTGAAAGAGCTCAGAACATCTAGGTAATCACTTTCAAAAAAATAAGCCTTAATTTTGTACTGTGCATGTTTCATGCATTTCCCCCCCAAACCCTGTGGTTTTGTAGACTGTATGCTGTTCAGATGTTATCTGATGTATTTATCTGGTTGATCTGTCAGATTGAGTGCCTTCTGCATGTCAGTCTTCTGTGGGTGTTATATCTAATTTCAGAATCACGCGTCTAATTTGATTTATAGCAAGGCCAGCACTTGGAAACAAGAGCAAGGTTGGAAATAGAGAAAAACCAGTCAACAAATTGTCAGCAGCAGGGTTCATTGAGTTTGCCATAGGATAATTAAATCTGCAGGATTGCTGAGAGCCGTGGGAATTTTCTGATTGAAACTGTTCACTCTTTGTGGAATGAGGGAATATCTTTTCTGGTCTCCTTTAGGAGGATTCAGCTGCAAAATTCACAGAGCTGCAGGGGGAAATGGAATATGGCAAACAGCAAGAGCTGCGGGACAGAATAAAAAATATACCTCCGAAATTTCTCTGTCTTCTTGCTGTAACTCCTCTCAGCCATCACCTGAACAGTTTCTGTAGTCATTCCACCCCCCAACTTCTACACCGTAAAGAAGTTGAGCTGTTACATTGCCCTGAAAAAGTTCCAGGGCAGGCTCAATCAAGAAGCCCCCTTTAGTGTGATAAAATTTTAGGATGCCCCCCATTGTTCGAAGAGCTGATGATTTCATAGAAACCAAATGGGCCTTCCAAGGAAAGTGATAAAGGCGATACCCAGATATATGAAGCTTCGGCACGGGTCGACTGGAAAATTATCAATTGCTTCACCGTGAACCAAAGACCATCACCTTGGTCTTAAGAGTGTTTGATATTTAAGGACTCTTCTTTACAATAGTCACTAAGCCCGAGCAACAGTCTTCTTAAGCCATTGTAAGAGACAGCAAGAACCATATCATCTGCATACAAAATAACTGAAACTTTTTGAGAGCCAAGGGAGGGAGGGGAAAAAATCTGGGCCAGAGAACCTCTTAATAATATCATTAAAAAAGTAAAGGGGCAAGAATGCAGCCTTGTTTCACTCCCCTGGTAACAGAGATACCCAGAAGCTGGGTGACAGAGGAACATAACTGGGTTGACCATCTGATTCTCCTCTCACCAAACGATATGCCATTGGTGGGAGTTTTTATTTATTTATTTATTTATTATATTTATACCCCACCCATCCTGCGAACAGGCTCAGGGTGACTAACAAGAGCGGTAAGTAAAGGTAAAGGTTCCCTTGCTTGAAAGCCAGTCGAATCCGACTCTAGGGTTGCGGTGCTCATCTCCGTTTCAAAGCTGAAGAGCCAGCGCTGTCCAAAGACGTTTCTGTGGTCATGTGGCCGGCATGACTAAACACCAAGGCGCACGGAACGCTGTTACCTTCCCACCGAAGTGGTACCTATTTATCTACTTGCAATTTCTTGCTTTCGAACTGCTAGGTTGGCAGGAGCTGGAACTAGAGACGGGAGCTCGCTCCGTCATGCGGCACCCTGGGTCTCGAACTACTGACCTTCCACAGCCTGCAGTTCAGCATCTTAACCACTTGAGCCACCGCAGCTCCTAACAAGAGTGGTACAATGTACCTAATTGGCATAACCATAAAAATTTAAAACTACATAAAATACATACTCATATCACATAATAAAATAACAAGTTAACAATAAAGTGCTTGCAGTGCTAACAAATTAGATGGCCTGCTCTTCAGATCTAAATCCACGTCCGTCCGGTCATCATCCCTCGAGCAGATACAGGCCTAGCGATCAGTGGGGAAAAGTTTATTGGAGAATCTTAAAATTAGGCTAAGTGGACAGTGATCACTCTCAACCCTATCAATTACCCCAAAGTAACAGATGTGGGGTGTGAGTGAGGGTGAAACTGACATATAATCAATGAAGCTGGCACCCCAGGACGAGAAATATGTGTAAATCCCATGGGAAGCATCAAAGTACTATGGAGATTGTGAAACTGAAAAATAGAAAGTTGCTCTGAAAGTCTTAAACCAGCATTGTTGATAAGAAGAAGAAGAGATTGGATTTATACCCAAATAAGTTATGCTAATGAGTTATGCTAATGAGCTCCGGCAGCTCTTTTTCTACAACAAGACCCCTGGAGACATGATATGCATGGCTCGTTGGTGTTGATGGCGTTTGAATTGCTTCCAGTAAAGTGAATATTGGGGGGGGAAATTTAGTCTTTGGAGACTTTTTTGGCATAACACATCACGGTTGTTTGCTTCTCAACTTCCATCCCATGATCTCTCTCTTTGGTTTGCATAGTTTTTATTGATGGCATCGTTTTTATTGATGGCAGACTATTTACAGGTTTCTCTAGGATTAATTTTAGTAATTCAATTCTATTTTGTAATTGTTTCTTTTAATACTACTTTTAAGATTGTCTGGAAGCAACCTGGTTTTAATGTTTGTTTGTTTTTTGCTGGTGCTGTTTGTTCTTTGACCTAGTTTTTATTTCCTTGTTGTGTACCAAACTTGTAATGGCCTTTGGCGTCATGCAATAAATCTAAATCTGAATCTGTAGCCTACGGTTCATCCACAGATGGCTGTGTTGGTTAACCCAGGATACCTTCCCTCCCAACCCTTTCCCTCCCACACCTAGTTGGATCCAGTCAGCTTTTTTCACTCAACTTGCCCAATTCTCCTCCTTATTACTGCCCCTATATAATGTGACTTTGGCCCATGCAAGTCCCACAATCCACAGCATAGCCTTGGGGGGGGGGTTCTTCCTCCCTTTTTGCTAGCACAAAAGCTGGTTGGATCCAAGATACTTGTGCAAGCCTTATATAGCCAAACTAATCATGAAAAAGATGTATTAAATGGAACCAATTACTACTAGATACATTTCTGCTTGGTTTGCCATAGGCAGGGCTTTTTTTTCTGAGGGAACATGCCGGGGAACAGAGTTCCAGAACCTCTTTGACAACATTCTCATTAAAATGTTTAAAAGTTCATGAGTTTTCAACATACAGACTGAAAACTTAATTTCCCTCTTGAGAGTTCCGGCACCTCTTTAAAAAAAAAAAAAAAAGCCCTGGCCTTGGGCATGTCTGGATGGGGATTAGATAATGCTCTTCCATTGCATCCCAAACCCAGGGGCCAGACGCCTGGGTCTTTTTGAGAGCCAGTTTGGTGTAGTGGTTAAGTGTGTGGACTCTGATCTGGGAGAACCGGGTTTGATTCCCCACTCCTCCACTTGCAGCTGCTGGTGTGACCTTGGGTCAGTCACAAGTTCTCTCAGAGCTGTTCTCTCAAGGGCAGTTCTCAAAAGAGCTCTCTCAGCCCCACCTACCAGTCTTTTTGGTAGGGCCTGTCATTTTGACCTACTGTTTCTCTATCATGTGCTCTGAAGGCAAGCACCACGATGTTAATGTTCTGTACCTACACATGGCCATGGGGTTTTCCTGCACCATGACATCGTTTTTTCAGGTAATCTCTCATAATCAGGGTAATACTGAAACTCTAAACTGGGCGTATATAAAATTCCCATTCAGACACATTCTTAGTTGGCTCTTGAAGTGTTGCCAAAGAGGTTGGGGCCCCACAAGCGGATGCCATCGCAGACTATAACCAAGGCATAAGAAAAATAATAAAGCTGGGAGTGCGCGTCAAACTGTTTCCATCATGGTTGCTTTGCTCAGTTCGAATAAAAAGTTGGCAATGTATTGTCGTTTGAACAGCATCCTTTAGTGTAATGTGGGTTAAATTTAGTGACTCTTAACTGGATGTGCTAAAAGCTGCTGAGTCTGAGCTGACCTCGGGTGATACAAAGGTTTTCTGTGATGATTAATCTGTGACAAATATGCATGAATGAACTTGTCTTGTCTTTAAACCTGTCTTTGAATCGTATTTTCCCAGCGAT